CGGTGGAGGTGGTGGAGGCAGTGGAGGTGGTGGCAGCAGTGGGAGTGGTGACGGGAGTGGGGGCTTTGGTAGCGGCGGACGAGGCAGCGGTGGGGGTGGCGGTAGTGGCAGTGGTGGGCGTGGAGGCGGTCGAACTGGAGCTCAGGGTGGAGGCTCTGGAGGAGGCCAAAGGTAGCAGCAGCAGCTTCGGAGCAAAACATAGTCGCCCTAGCAACTTCGTGAGTGGTTGTTTCAGCGTGGGGCATCTGGGGGTAGTGTTAGCTGCCCGTATGTCATTCGCACGGGTGACCGTGGTGGTCAGACATGCGGGAGGCCTCACACTCAGCGCCGCTGCTTCTCCCGCCTTGACGTCGCTTGGCGTACTGAGTTTGGTGACGAGGTCGAGCGCCCCCTCTGTGCAGACCTGTTTCGGGCTGGAGTTGCTATCTTTGACGTAGACTTTGATGTTATTCTTGCTTCTATGTATGCCTTGTCTACTAGTGCTGAGGGTGACTGTTACCGGTGTGTGCCGCCTGACCCAGGTATAGCCGCTGCTGCTCTAGGTGCTAGTGAGTCTGTTCTCCCTGGTATTGCGCCTACTGCGGCCTTGCACACCTTCACACTTGACTCAGGTGCCTCACGCTGTTTCTTTCGCGACAGCACCACCCTCACTCCTCTCTCTGCACCTATACCGGTCCGACTGGCTGACCCCTCCGGGGGCCCAGTCGTTGCCCGTGCCTCCACTCTTCTCCCGTGTCCGGCGTTTCCGTCCGGCTTCCTGTCTGGTCTTCACCTCCGCTCGTTCTCTACAAACTTGGTGAGTACCGCTGCCCTCCAGGATGCGATGGTCACTACCACCACTCCTGGGGGTCAGCGTGTGTCAATCTGCATGTGTGCCCAGACAAGCCGTCACCTGGCCACGTTCACTCGTCGGCCAGGGTCGAGTCTGTACACACTGGCTACTGAGCCTAATCAAGTAGCTGCGTCAGCCCAGGTGTCCGCATCAGATCAGGTAGCACCCCCTTGCTCGTGTTGCCTCCTGTCGCACCAGACTCTTCTGTGCCACCACCGTCTTGGTCACCCTTCTCTGCCACGCCTTCGTGGCATGCACTCTCGCCTCCTTGTGTCTAGTCGCCCCAGGTCTTTACCTCCCCTCCCGCCCTCGCCTGCTCCGCCATGCCTTCCTTGCGTCAAGGGGCGGCAGCGCGCCACTCCTCACTCCTCGTTTCCCCCGACGACTGCTCCCCTGCAGACTCTCCACATGGACGTGTGGGGCCCAGCCCGCGTCAGTGGCCAGCGCCGGGAGCGCTACTTTCTGCTGGTCCTTGACGACTACACGCACCACGGTCTTCCCCTTGCGCAGCAAGGGTCAGGTCTCTGATGTCTTGATCCCTTGGATCCGTGCAGTACGTCTCCAGCTCCGCGAGCGGTTCCAGCAGGACCTTCCTGTCCTGCGTCTCCACTCTGACAGAGGTGGTAGGTTCTCCTCCGACCAACTGCGTGACTTTTGTCATGGGGAGGGCATTCTCCAGTCGTTCACGCTTCCGGCCTCCCCTCAGCAAAATGGGATTGGTGAGCGCCGCATTGACTTAGTCATAGAGGTCGCTCGTACCTCCATGATCCATGCGGCTGCTCCCCATTTTCTGTGGCCGTTTGCGGTCCGGTATGCTGCGCATCAGCTCAACCTATGGTGGTAGGTTCTCGTGCCTTTGTCCGCGATACGTCCGCGGACAAGCTCTCCACCCACGCCATTCCCTGCGTCTTCCTTGGCTTTGTCCCTGACGCGCCTGGCTGGCAGTTTTACCACCCTACCTCGAGCTGTGTCCTCCCCTCTCAGGACGTCACGTTTGACGAGTCGGTTCCCTTTTACCGTCTCTTCCCCTAGCGCTCTGCCCGTCTCCCTCCCCCGCCGCTCTTCCTTGCTCCAGGTCCCCCTCCGGTAGACCCCCTCCCCCCTCAAGGTCCTGCTCCCTTAGGTGTCTCTAAGGTAGACCCACCCCCTGGTGCTGTGTCTGGTGAGGTAGCTGTAGACTCAGGTGCTGCTAGAGGTGCTACGTCTGGGGGTGCTGAGACTGGGGGTGCCGAGCTAGGGGGTGCTGAGACTGGGGGTGGTGAGCCTGGGGGTGATGAGACTAGGGGTGTTGAGCGCGAGGGTGCTAAGACTGGGAGTGCTGAGCCTGAAGGTGCTGAGCCTGAGGGTGTGGAGTCTGGGGGTGTGGAGCCTGGGGGTGCGAAGCCTATGGGTACGGAGTCTGGGGGTGCTGAGCCCAGAGGTACTGCCTCGTCTGGGGGTCCTGCGGGTGTCTCGCCCCGGCTGTCTCCCCGACCGGATCCGCTCTCTCCGCAGCAGCTGCGCGAGTGGCTTACTCGGCGCGCCCGCCTTCGGAGTGGAGCTGCAGGAGCAGGTGACTCTGCTGCTGGAGACGCTGGTGCTGGCAGTACTGCTAGTACTGGTGTTTCTGATGGAGCTGGAGGTACCGGGGGTGCTGGTTCTACTGGTCCTGGAGGTGCTCATACTGGAGGTAATGGAGCTGCCGGGGTTGGTGGTGCTGGAGGAGCTGGTGCTGGAGGTGCTGGTACTGCTGGAGGTACTCGAGTCGTTGGAGATGGTGGTACTACAGACGTTGGAGCTCGAGGCGCTGGCCCTGGGGGTGCTGGTGCTGGTTCTGGAGACACTGGGCGACTGCGACCTTACTTCGTTCCCCTACTTCACGAGGTTCTTGGTCTCCCGTCTTCTACTGGCCTTCCTCCTCCTTTTCTGTGTCCACCCCCTGACCAGTCGCAGCCGCTGCTACAGTCCGCCTCCCCGCTGCCTGCTCCTTGTCCCTACACTGAGCATACCGGTGGTCTTACAAAGCGTCGTGAGCATGAGTATCGTCATGCCTCGCCTGTTCGCACTGGTCGTTGCGTTCCTCGTCCGCGTCCTCCTCCTGTCCCCGGCACACACGCTATGGCACTTCGTCCTTCCTCTGTTCCACTGCGTGTTCCTCTTCCTGCTCCTCCTGAGTCCTCTCTTCCAGCCGTCACTAACCCTTCTTTTGAGCCCACTGCTGCGTCTGTCAAAACAGTTATATGTTTATATGTTTCTAGGTTGTGTAGGGGTTATCCCTAGAGGGTACAACTAGATTTACTCGACACTCTTGTACCCCCCCCCTCACCTAATCGACATCACTTCTTTCTTCTCTTTTGACTTGCTCATCTCTCTCGACACTCACGCTAGTACCTCGAACCCTAGCCATGGCTCTTTAGTTCATGAGCTTATCTTGACATGCTATCTGAGTAGGTCGTTCCTAGGACCTCACATTCATGGGCCCACCACCTACTGCCCTGCTAGCCTAGGCCCCGGCCCGTCGCCCCTTGGCGTCGCCCCTAGGCTCGGCCCCCAGGTCCCGTCGCTCACGGCCCCTCGGCCCCGTCGCTCATGGCCACTAGGCCCGGCCCATCGCTGCCCCTAGCTTGGCCCCTTGGCCTCGTTGGCGCCGTCGCCCCTAGCCACGCCACTCGGCCCCGTTGGCCCCGTCGCCCCTAGCCGCGCCCCTCGGCCCCATTGGCCCCGTCGACCCCGTTGCCCCTAGCTGCGCCACTCGGCCCTGTTGGCCCCGTCGCCCCTAGCCGCGCCCCTCGGCCCCGTTGGCCCCGTCGACCCCGTCGCCCCTAGCTGCGCCACTCGGCCCCGTTGGCCCAGTCGCCCCTAGCCGCGCCCCTCGGCCCCGTTGGCCCCGTCGACCCCGTCGCCCCTAGCCGCGCCACTCGGCCCCGTTGGCCCCGACGCCCCTAGCCGCGCCCCTCAGCCTCATTGGCCCCGTCGACCCCGTCGCCCCTAGCCACGCACCTCGGCCCCGTTGGCCCCGTCGCCCCTAGCCGCGCCCCTCGGCCTCGTTGGCCCCGTCGACCCCGTCGCCCCTAGCCGCGCACCTTGGCCCCGTCGCCCCCGTCGCCCCTAGCCGTGCCCATCGGCCCCCCTTGGCCCCATCACCCCTAGCCGCGGCCCCTAGGCCCCGTCGCCCCCAGCTGCGGCCCCTCGCGACCCCAGGCCCCGTCGCCTCGGCCCCTTGGCCCCGTCGCCCCTAGCCATGGCCCCTCGCGACCTGCCGCCCCTAACCGCGGCCCCGTCGCCTCTAGCCTCGGCCCCTAGCGACCTGTCGCCCCTATCCGCGGCCCCGGCGCCCCGTCGCATCATGGAGGGTAAGGGGGTGGCAAGAGGGGTGACGGCTTCCTGCCCACGTGCCCTGCAGTTGCACGCGCAGCTCCGCCCCCGCCCCCCTCCCCCCCCTCCATGGGGACGGGGGGGAGAGGGTGTGAGGGGGTGGCGGATGTGCCTCAGCAGCAGCAGCTCCCGCCACGCCTCCTCCTCTCTCTCTCCCTGCCGCACCTTGTGTTGGGAGGGGGGGGGGAGCTTGGAGGTTCAGGGGGGGGCAGGAGGGGATCTGCAGCACCAGCCCCCCCCGCCCCCCCTTACTCCTCCATCCCTGGGGGGTGAAGGATTGTGGAGCAGCAGTGGGGGGGAGGGGATCTGCAGCACCAGCCCCCCCCCCGCCCCCCCCTTCTCCTACCTCCCCCTGCTGCGGGTGCAGCAGTGGGGGGGAGGGGATCTGCAGCACCAACCCCCCCCGTCCCCCCCCCTTCTCCTTCATTTTTGGGGGGTGACGGATAGTGGAGCAGCAGTGGGGGGGAGGGGATTTGCAGCATCAGCCCCCCCCCCGCCCCCCCTTCTCCTCTCTCTCTCCCTGCCGCACCTTGTGTTGGGAGGGGGGGAGGAGCTTGGAGGTTCAGGGGGAGGCAGGAGGGGATCTGCAGCACCAGCCCCCCCCCTCCCCCCCCTTTCTCCTCCATCCCTGGGGGGTGAAGGATTGTGGAGCAGCAGTGGGGGGGAGGGGATCTGCAGCACCAGCCCCCCCCGCCCCCCCCTTCTCCTACCTCCCCCTGATGCGGGTGCAGCAGTGGGAGGGAGGGGATCTGCAGCACCAACCCCCCCCGTCCCCCCCCTTCTCCTTCATCCCTTGGGGGTGACGGATAGTGGATCAGCAGAGGGGGGGAGGGGATTTCAGCATCAGCCCCCCCCCCCCCCCCGCCCCCCCTTCTCCTCTCTCTCTCCCTGCTGCGCTTTGTGTTGGGAGGGGGGGGGGAGCTTGGCGGTTCAGGGGGAGGCAGGAGGGGATCTGCAGCACCAGCCCCCCCCCCCCCCCAACTTCTCCTCCATCCCCCTTCTGCGGGTGCAGCGGTGGGGGGGAGGGGATCTGCAGCCCTGTGCGCCCTGCTGCCCTGTTCGCCCTGCGCGCCCTGCTGCCCTGCAGCCCTGTGCGCCCTGCTGCCCTGCTGCCCTGTGCGCCCCGCGCGCCCTGCAGCCCTGCGCGCCCCGCGCGCCCTGCTGTCCTGCTGCCCTGCGCGCCCTGCAGCCCTGCGCGCCCCGCGCGCCCTGCTGCCCTGCAGCCCTGTGCGCCCTGCTGCCCTGCAGCCCTGTGCGCCCTGCTGCCCTGCTGCCCTGTGCGCCCCGCGCGCCCTGCAGCCCTGCGCGCCCCGCGCGCCTTGCTGTCCTGCTGCCCTGCGTGCCCCGCGCGCCCTGCAGCCCTGCTGCGCCCCACGCGCCCTGCTGCCCTGCTGCCCTGTGCGCCCCGCTGCCCTGTGCGCCCCGCGCGCCCTGCAGCCCTGTGCGCCTCGCGCGCCTGCTGCCGCTACAGCCCCTGCTGCTGCCGCTACAGCCCCTGCTGCTGCCGCTACAGCCCCTGCTGCTGCCGCTACAGCCCTTGCTGCTGCCGCTACAGCCCCTGATGCTGCCGCTTCAGCCCTTGCTGCGGCCGCTACAGCCCTTGCTGTTGCCGCTACAGCCCTTGCTGCTGCCGCTACAGCCCTTGCTGCTGCCGCTACAGCCCTTGCTGCTGCCGCTACAGCCCTTGCTGCTGCCGCTACAGCCCTTGCTGTTGCCGCTACAGCCCTTGCTGCTGCCGCTACAGCCCTTTCTGCTGCCGCTACAGCCCCTGCTTCTGCCGCATCAGCCCTTGCTGCTGCCGCTACAGCCCTCGCTGCGGCCGCTACAGCCCTTGCTGTTGCCGCTACAGCCCTTGCTGCTGCCGCTCCAGCCCTTGCTGTTGCCGCTACAGCCCTTGCTGCTGCCGCTACAGCCCTTGCTGTTGCCGCTACAGCCCTTGCTGCTGCCGCTACAGCCCTTGCTGCTGCCGCTACAGCCCCTGCTGCTGCCGCTACAGCCCTTGCTGCTGCCGCTACAGCCCTTGCTGCTGCCGCTACAGTCCTTGCTGCGGCCGCTACAGCCCTTTCTGCTGTCCTGCGCACCCCGCGCGCCTTGCAGCCCTGCACGCCACGCGCGCCCTGCTGTCTTGTGCGCCCCGTGCGCCCTGCTGCCCTCTGCACGCACATCTGCAGCCCCATGCGCAGCCCCTACCCCGCCCCCCCCTCTCCCCCCCTTTTCTCCTCCCTCTCCCTGTTGCACATGCAGCAGTTGGGGTGCCGGGGGGGGGAGGGGAGGGGAGGGTGTGAGGGGGAGGTTGCACCTCCAGCGCCAACCTGCCTCCTCTCTCTCACAGCCGCACCTACTGCTGTGGGGGGGAGTGTGAAGTGGTGGGGAGGCTCAGGGGATGTGGGTGGTGGGTGACACAGCTGCAGCAGCTTAGCATTCTAATAGTCTTGTGACCGCTGTTCGGTTTGGCTATCCCCTCCTTCACCTATGGGGGTGTGTCAAAACAAGTATATGTATATATGTTTCTAGGTTGTGTAGGGGTTATCCCTAGAGGGTACAACCAGATTTACTCGACACTCTTGTACCCCCCCCTCACCTAATCGACATCACTTCTTTCTTCTCTTTTGACTTGCTCATCTCTCTTGACACTCACGCTAGTACCTCGAACCCTAGCCATGGGTCTTTAGTTCATGAGCTTAGCTTGACAGCGTCTGCCCTCGTTGCTGAGCTAGTTGACTTTGCTACTGCCAGTCGTCTAGACTACGCCACTGCTCTTGTTGCTGAGTCTGCGTCTGCCACCCCTCCGTCCGTCGGGGGTGAGTGTGCTCTTGGCACGGACGTCCTTGAGGACAGGCAGGAGGAATTTGAGTGTCTTGCATCTGGTGTACCTCATTTCGCTTCCATGCTTCTTGCCCCTGAGGGAGACCCGGATGCACCAGACATCCCGCCCCCATGCTCTTACGCAGAGGCGATTACGGGTCCTTACTCCTCTCAGTGGCAGACAGCCATGGATGCCGAGATGGCATCCTAGAAGTCCACACGCACCTACGTCGACGCAGTTCCCCCGTCTCGGGCGAACATAGTCGATGGCATGTAGATTTTAAGGGTGAAGCGGCCGCCACGTTCTCCGCCTGCCTTCAACGCGCGTTACGTTGCTCGAGGCTTCAGTCAGCGACAGGGGGTCAACTACTTCTAGACCTTCTCCCCCACTCCAAAGATGACTACTCTTCGGGTGTTGCTGCACGTCGCTGCTCAGCGTGACTACGAGTTACACTCTCTGGACTTCACTACATCGTTCTTGCAGGGCAGCCTGCACGAGGAGATCTGGCTGCGCCGACCACCTAGCTTCACTGGGTCGTTTCCTGTAGGTACCCAGTGGAGCCTTCGGCGGCCAATCTACGGTCTCCGCCAGGCGCCTCGTGAGTGGCACAACACACTGAGGACTACACTTGCGGCTCTGGGGTTTACTCCTTCTACTGCCGACCCGTCGCTGTTTCTACGCACCGACATGTCGATGCCGCCGCTCTACGTCCTCGTGTACGTCGACGACCTCGTCTTTGCCATGGCTGACACTGAGGCACTGACCCTTGTGAAGTCCGAGCTGCAGAAGAGACACACCTGCACTGATTTGGGTGAACTGCGCAGCTATCTTGGCTTGCAGATCACTCGAGACAGAGCACGGCGCACCATCACACTGACTCAGTCACACATGGTGCACCAGGTCCTTCAGCGCTTCGGCTTCCAGTTCTCCTCGCCACAGCCCACTCCTCTATCTACCAGGCACTCGCTCTCAGCTCCACCTTTGGACGAGTCCGTAGAGCCGAGTGGTCCGTACCCAGAGCTTGTGGGTTGCCTCATGTACCTGATGACGTGCACAAGACCTGACCTCGCATACCCTCTCAGCCTTCTGGCTCGCTACGTGGCTCCCGGTAGGCACTGAAAGGTGCACTGGGATGCTGCGAAGAGGGTACTGCGTTACTTGTGCAGTACGTCAGGCATGGGGCTCGTGCTTGGAGGACGGGGTCCAGTTGTTCTCACCGGTCACGCAGACGCCTCTTGGGTTGACGACTCAGCTACGCAGCGGTCGTCACAGGGTTACACCTTCAGCCTTGGCTCCGGCTCGGTTTCCTGGCGATCTACCCGCTCGTCTTCGGTTCTCAGCTCCAGTTGTGAAGCTGAGATCTACGCTGGGGCCATGGCTGCACAGGAGCTACGCTGGCTCACCTACATACTGACTGACTTGGGAGAGCAGCCTTGTTTGCCTCCAGTTCTGTACGTAGAAAACAAGGCCATGATTGCCTTGTGTCAGGAGCACAGACTCGAGCACCGAATAAAGCACATCGCTCTGCGATACTTCCTTGCTCGAGAGTTGCAGCAGCGTGGCCAGCTTCGTCTTGCGTACGTGGTCACTAGGGCCAACACTGCTGATATATTCACCAAGGCACTTCCGGCTGGTGATCATCAGCACTTCTCTACTGTGTTAGGCCTTGTGCCTACTTTGCCTCACTTGCTCACTGCTTGACTTTGCGTGTACTGTGATCTCTATGCATACCTGCATGCTTACACTTGCTAGGGTATGATCACTGTATTGTTTGTTCTCTTTTATATAACTCTGCATGTGAACTGGCCTTGTGGCCCTTTGCTTGTGCTCGGACTGTGTGGTGACTTTGTGATCCACCCTGAGCTTGTTTTGCTTTTCTTGACTGGTCTTGTGACCACTTGTTCTCCCCCACTTTGCCTATGGGGGTGTGTCAGAATGTTTTAGTGCTTATATTTGTGTACGCTATAGTGGGGTAGTCCATAAGGGGTACAACCCAATTAGGGTTAGTACTTGTACCCAACTCTTTGAGAGTTCATTCCTTCTTGTTCATTCTTCTAACATTTTCGCCTAAAACCCAACGCCGATTTAACGATCGAACGCTTTAAAGCACGCTGGGTCCTAGGCGGCTACGACCAGCATCACGGCCTCGATTTCGACCAAACCTTCGCCCCTGTCAGTCGCCATACTTCCGTGCGGATTCTGCTCGCCATAATTGCCGCTAAGCACCTACCACTGCGGCAGATCGATGTCAAAAACGCATTTCTATACACGTTGGTGGACGCAAATATTTTCGTGGAGCAGCCACACACCTACGGGGACGGGGATCCCATGGTCTGCCAGCTGAAGAAATCTCTCTACGGGATAAAACAGGCGTCGCGCCAGCATCAGGAAAAAAAATCTTCCAGAGATCGGCTTCAGGCAGCTGCCACACGACCCAGGTATGTACCGCATTCATTTCAACTGCGATTACATCATTCTGGCCATCTACGTCGTCGACATGTTGTACACCGGCACCTGCAACAAACTCCTTAATCAGTTCGAGGAAAACCTGGCGCAGCGCGTTGATATCACCATCAACCACAATGTTACGCAGTTTCTGGGGCTGAACATCTCTACGCGCCAAAAGCAATTCATCTGTCAGCCTCCAAGTACGCAGAGCAGCTAGGAGAACGCTTCAAAATTTCACCCGTACCACTCTCAACTCCTTACCGCACTCCCAGCACCAACTACAAATCGGACAACAAACCTATGTCGCCCGCAGGACTCCAACTGTACTAGCAGAAACTGGGATGCCTACTGTTCGCCTCTGTCACCTGCCGACCCGACCTTTCGTACATCGCCAGCCAACTTGCACTGTGCTCCCGCAAGCTAGTAGCCGAGAACCAGCTGGACTTGGAGTGCGCCCTACAGTACTTCATCTCCACACCAGACATAGGGCTCTCCTACTCCACGCTGGCGAACAACCTCTTTCAACCCCAATGGCTACGTGGACGCAGATCATGGCGCTGATCCTGCGAATCGACGGTCACAAACCGGCTTCGTTTTCCGCCTCGAGCCAATAGGACCAATCTCCTGGAACTCACATAAGCAGGAGCTGGTTGCCCTATCGTCGGCCGAAGCAGTGTACATCGACGCGACAGCAGCAGTTCGCGAAGGTCTGTACCTGCAGGAACTGCTGCAAGAAGCGAAATTTCCAGCTAACTTCCTTACTAAGCGATTGCCACGTCAGCAGTACAAACACTGCTCCGATCTCACAAGAGTAGTCAAGAGATTCAGCCCTCTGCGCGGCCAGGAATGAAGGGGAGTGTTACGATATGAAATTCAATGAGAAGGCATTCATGTACCGTCATACCCCGGATATACCCCCATGGGGGGCAATAATAAAACAGGTTTTTTCAGGGGGGTGGGCTTATAATCGAGTAAATTTATAAGCGCCGGCATTTATAAAATGACATATATATTTTTTCTATTTTTTAACACCAAACTGTAGATCTCGTGCTTGCCTTTCCAATCGAGTCGAAGTTACATGGGGTCGTCTGTGAAATTCTCGCGCGCGCTGGGAGATACACCCAATCTGACTCACATCCAGCTCCTGACAGCTCCTGACAGCTCCTGCTGACTGGACCCGCATCCAGTGCAGGGTCCGAATGTGAAGGGAACCGAATCTGCAACACATCCGCCTGCTAAAGTAAAAATCGTTACAGCATTTTGAACACATTTCAAATTTTAAAGTTTACGTGCGCTTATAATAAAACAAGTTTTTTCAGGGGGTGCGCTTATAATCGAGCAGCGGATATAAGCGCCATGCGCCAATTAAAAGCGCCAGGCGCTTATCCGAGGGTGGCGCTTATATCCGGGGTATGACGGTATGCTGCATGAGGCGACTCTACCAAGAACGAAGTCGAGGAGTCAGAAGAGTCAAAGCGACACCAGCAACCGTCAGATCAAGACCGATGCAGGCAGAATCATTTGAAGTGAAAAGAGTGGGAACAGGTTTGAAACAGGTTCCCACGCCGCACGGTTTGAACTTCGCTGTAATAAGGGAATGTACCCCTTAGAGTACAGGTGCTAGCCTAGGACGTTTCGCATGTTAAACTCGATGTATGCATGTTATAATCAAATCTCAGTCATTTACATTCAATTTGGCCTGAGGTCAACACTTCCGCTGCAACACTACTTGCGATCAACCCTGAACGATCCTTCGCTAAGTCGCACTTGGGTTTTTAATAGTATTTTCCTCGTACTCATATTTAAACGAATGTGTTTGCATGCTTTATTCATCTCAATCATTTTATATTCACACTGATATGAGGTCAAGGGCCAACCACTACCACACACTCTATGCGAAACGTCATGAGGTGATCCTGGTTATGATCTAGTTTCTGATCGCAGTAGGGTCTATTAGATTTACACCCACTTAATCACCCCATACTTTTTTTTAATGGATTGTTCAATCTAGGAAATAGATGTTTCAGGTAATTACTGGTGGAATGGTGTGATGGACTGAGTTAATATAATTTATAATCTTTATGTCTTCATCATCATCCACTTGATCTAAATGAGTTTTCTTTCAATGCTTTATACACCGTAATTATCTAAACGAGTTTTTCTCTGCATGCAACCTCTCGACCACAATTGAGTTTATTGAAGTCATTCCGCATCAACTCTTGTCCACCACCAGGTGCCGAAAGGGATGAATGCCAGCAAGGCAACTGAACGCGAATCATGATTGGCCGCGACGAGTCAAGTAAGACTTCAAAAGAGTCTGCTGGACTACGATTTGGAGGCGGTTCGATTCCAGCCTCCCAATTCCAACCGAACCACCGCCCCAAGCAGGGGTGGTTTGAGATGCACAGAACAGACTTCCCCCAACCAAGGCTGCATCATCACCCATGCACTGGTTGTGTCTCGTAGAAAACTCCTTCCAAACGAGACAAAATTCCAAGGCCATCATCAGCACCCTAGCACTAAACCGAGGGTGACGTGTGACGACCAGGAATGTCTTGGTTCAGTTCGGAACTGTCACACGGTGTAACCTGCCAGACGCACCTACCCAGGAAGAAAAGCAAATCATCAACCTACAGTCACGCCATGAAACCGAGAAAACCGCCATGATCTCCACGTTCTGATCGGGAGGAAGCTATGGAACAGAGCTAGTACCACCGTCCTACTACCGCCGCAGTGGCTCCATGCTAACATGATAGTCAAACGACCCTATCGAGAGCCTGGCGACCAATGATGAAAAATGGTTCAGCAACCCGCCGAGAGGGAATTCAATTAAAGTCTTTGTTTTCTTGAAACTAAGAGAAACGCGGATTACTTTCCTTTCCCTCTCTGGGACAGCGAGGACGGATTGCTTTCCTTTCCCTACGAGTAGAAATTTAGTGTAAAGATGAAGGAAATTAAAGTTGAGACTGAAGTTATACTCTTGCCTTGGGATTTTATTAGTAGTAGTTGCCCCCCACAGACATCACACAAGATCCAAGCCGCCCGTCACGCGCATGGCGATCATCATGAGTCGTGGATTACCACGTAGTAAGCTCGGCATTTTTTCGTGGCTCCAGCCGCCTGTCACTGCAACAGCCATGATCGTTGCTCTTCTGGCAGTTTTGCTCGTCATGCCTGTGCCGCCGTGTTCTGCAGTGCATCATGTAGCACAACCAGGTAAAATGGAAGATAATTTGTCACGGGCAAACATAATGGTCGTGCTCTGCCATCATGATATGGGGTACTCAAATTTTGAAAACTCCCCCAACGTGGGCCTGCTCTGCAGTATCCATGCAGAACCAGGACACTAGTAGTACATCATGGTACAACCTAGTTGTGCAATTGTAGGTACTTAGATAACTCCTTGTCGAATACAATCTCTTTCTTCCCAGCTCTTAGCCCACCTCAGAGTCTCTGTCCTTAGATCCACCATTTTTCAATGCTCCTCAGATCCAACCCCTGTTATGAATCCCTCCTCCTCCCACCTCTTGATCCCAGCAGCTGGAAGGCCCAACACGAAGCCGTACATCGTGCATCAATCGTCGGTGCCGTCAGTGCTGTCGTACCGGGGGGGAGTCAATGGGCTGCGGGCCACAGCGACTGTCGACGATGAGGAGGACGAGTATGAGGACGAGGAAGACGTGGATGACGTGGATAATGATGAGGATTATGGGGATCATGGGGAGGATGGCGATGCTGGTGGTGATGGCAATGGGGGCATCGGTGGAGGTAGTGGCAATGGCACTGCACCAGGATCAGCAGCAGGCTCAGCTGAAGGATCAGCACCAGCAGCACCAGAATCAATACCAGATGCTAATGGTGGTGATGGCAATGGCAGCACCGGTGGAACCAGTGGAAATGGCCACCAGAATTAGCAGCAGGCCCAGTTGAAGGATCAGCGCCAGAAGCAGCAGGAGCAGCAGCAGTGGCAGCTGCAAAAACGGCAGCGGCAGAATCAGAAGAGAAAATGACAGGGTCAGAATCTGGTGAGGATGGTTTTGATGCCGATGTTCAGTTTGCTGCTGCGGCTACTGCAGAGGCGGCATTGGAGATAGCAGGCGCAGCAGCAGGTGGGGCAGGAAGAGGATTGGGAGGAGAGGGCAGCGGAGGAAGAGGAGGCGGAGGAGCAGTGAGGGTGACCGCACTGCCGTTTGCAAGAACCGGGCTGGATGCGCTGTTGGAGAGGGTGGATCAGCGTCTGAGAAAAATGAAATCGCGGTCTGTTGGCCGGCGCCTGCTGGCCCGCGTTGCTGCTGCTGCAGTGGCCGCAGCAGCAGAGGAAGCAGCAGAGGAAGCAGCAGGAGCAGCTGGTGGTGGTGGTGGTGGTGCTGCTGCTGCTGCTGCTGCTGTTACACAGCCATTCCAAAACGCATCCTTTTACGCTTCCACTGTTTCTGCTACCAGCGTTCCTATCACGCCGTCATCTGCATCATCATCAGCAGCACCCGGAAACGGAGGTGCCATCTCAGCATCAGCGTCATCATCGGCAGAAGCAGCACCAGCCGGAGAGAAGGCACCGATGGCAAGTGGAGCCACATCAACAGTGCTGACGGTGCAGCAGCTGAGTGCACGTGCTGCTCGCATCATGCGCTCAATGCCGTGGGGCCGACTCACGCGACCCGACGTGCGGTTACCCCACGTCCAGGCCTTTACCCGCTTCCTGGAGGCTTCTCACCTCAGCCTGCTGCAGTCGCTTGGGATCCCATCCTCAGCCATTTTCCACAGGTGGGGAGGGGGGTATTGGGGGGAAGAGGGGTGGTGTGGGTGGGTTGGAAAGAGGGGTTGGGCTATTTGGTTTCTGGAGGTGTAAGGAAGTTTCTTGGTCCGCCCAAACGTTTCTCGAGGCTCTAGCCGCGGTTGTTTTTCACAAGGGGGTTGGGAGAGAGGGGGGATGGGGGGATCAGTCAGAAGATGCTTAGGGTTATGACCTCACCCATTATCCTTAGGTTATCTTTGCAAGTGACCTCGATGGTTTGAAAAACTAAAGCTTGAGCTCCTCAGGCTGGATTCACCCCGAGTTGTTGGTCATGGCTCACCCACCCCCTTCCCCTGCCTGCTTCTCATCCAAACTTTTCCCTTCCACCCCCCAGCTACACCTATCTGATGAACAGCTTTGCAGCGCAGCTCACCACTGCGGAGGCGAGGCGACTCAAATTGCATCCAGCAGTGGCAGACGTGGAGAGAGACCGCACAGTGCGAGTGACCTCGGTGCACTCCCCTGAGTTCCTCAAGCTCGACTCGAGCCTGTGACCGGCGAATGGCGGGCAGAGCAACGCAGGAGAGGGAGTGATCATCGGAGTGATCGACACAGGGATCGGGCCCGAACACCCCTCCTTCTCTAACCCTGTAAGCCCGAACACCCCTCCTTCTCCAACCCTGTAAGAGCGAACACCCCTCCTTCTCCAACCCTGTAAGCCCTAACACCCCTCCTTCTCCAACACTGTAAGCCCTAACACCCCTCCTTCTCCAACCGTGTAAGCCCTAACACCCCTCCTTCTCCAACCCTGTAAGCCCTAACATCCCTCCTTCTCCAACCCTGTAAGCCCTAACATCCCTCCTTCTCCAACCCTTTAAGCCCTAACATCCCTCCTTCTCCAACCCTTTAAGCCCTAACATCCCTCCTTCTCCAACCCTTTAAGCCCTAACATCCCTGTTTTGGTAAAGAAAACTTGCCATCTTGGGTTTGCACTTCGTAGGTTGCCAGCCAATCATTCCAACTCAAGTGGTTATTTTCTTCTCCAATCGTTTGTGTGTATTCCCCCGTCCTCATTCGCTCCCCTCTCAGTCCCCCGCATCCTCCCTACAAAATGCCTCCCTATAGACGCCTCAAAACTCACCTGTGTCCCCCCCGTCCTCATTCCCTCCCCTCACAGTCCCCCACATCTACAACGTGCCTCTCTCTTCTTTTGCGCCACCCCTCTCTCAAATGGAGTGGCTTACTCTGCAGCCTCATTGCATTGGAGAGGCGTGTGCACCAAACAATGTGGCCACCCCACCAATCTACTCAAAGCTCCATGCCCTCACATCTTTGCCCCCTCCCCCCCTCCCTTTTTTTTCTTTTCTTTTTTGTCGCCCTCTTACTCTCCACCACCCGCCAGGACCCAAGTGCAGCTCATTACTCTGCTGCCCTTGCGCGCTGGAGAGGCGTGTGCACCAAACACACGACTTCTCCTCCTCCCCTCCCTGACACCCCCTCTTCTCCTCCTTGACGCCCCATCCCCTCCTCCTCTTCCTCCAGGACCAAAACGGAGTGCCTTACTCTGCTGCCCCTGTGCGCTGGAGAAGCGTGTGCAGCAAAACTGACGACTTCACAGCGTGCAACGGCAAGGTGGTTGGGGCGAGGTTTTTCCTGAAGGGTCTGGAGCAGGTGGATGGCAAGTTGGATACCGAATATGATTACCGGTCACCACGGGACATCACGCAGCACGGCACATGGTGTGCGGGGTGAGTGCCATGGTTGTAAATTTGATCAGAACTCTGACACCCCCCGCACTGGGATGCCCGAAGTGCACACGCTGGGATTCGAACCCGAGACCTTCGCTCTGATACAATGTCAGAATCCCAACCACTAGACCATTGGGATAAAATGGCTTGTTAAGTAGCGGGTCAGTGCGCCCATAACCCCCCAGGCCAACATAGGCTGTAGTGGGGTAGTTCATATAGGGTACAACACTTTTAGGTTTGCTACTTGTACCCACCTGCTTGCTAATTCAGTCATTCATTCAGTCAGTATTCTAACATGGTATCAGAGCAGGTTCCCTCGTGGGAACTTTTTTTTTTTAGGGCCCACCACGAATTTTTTTTTCCTGCCCTGCCCGAAGCGCGCCTCGCGCCTGCCTTACCTGCGCCGTCGCGCGCCCTTCCTTAGCTGGCCAATCGCAGCCCTGCCTCAGCCGGCCCGTCCCGGACCGTAGCTGCGCGTCGCTGGCCCGTCGCCACGCATCGCGGCCCTGCCTTAGCCGCCCACTCCGGCCCCGTGCCGCCCGTCGCTGGCCCGTCCCGGCCTGTCTAGGCCCGACCCGGCCCGTCTCGGCCCGTCCCGGCCCGTCCCGGCCCGTCCAGGCCCCTTTGCCGCCCGTCGTCGGCCCTTTCGCCGCCCGTCGCGGCCTCTGCCCTGCAGCCGCCCTGTCGCGGCCCCTGCCCTGCTGCCGCCCCAAGTCGCGGCCCTGCCTTCGCCTGTCAAACTTGTATGCTATAGTCTGTTTAGGCTGTAGTGGGGTAGTTCTTACGGGGTACAACACTTTTAGGTTTCCCATATGTACCCACCTGCTTTCTAGTTCAGTCATTCATTCGCTCACATTCTAACATGGTATTCTGAGCAGGTTCCCTAGTGGGAACGGTTTTTTTTTTAAGGGCCCACCACAATTTTGTTTTCCTGCCCTGCCCGAAGCGCGCATCGCGCCCTGCCCGTCGTGGCCCCTTTGTCGCCTGTCACGGCCCCTGCTGGACGCGACCCCTACTGCCTGTCGCGGCCCCTACTGCCGACGCGGCCCCTACTGCTATCGCGGCCCTAGCCCGTCGCGGCCCCTGTTGACGCGGCCCCCTACTGTCGCGGCCCTTTGCTGGCGCGGCCCCTGCTGTCGTGGCCCCCTGCAGGCGCGGCCCCTTCTGTCGCCCAGCCGAGCCGCGCCGCCCAGCCGAGCCGCGCCGCCCAGCCGAGCCGCGCCGCACAGCTGAGCCGCGCCGCCCACTGAGCCGCGACGCTCTGCCGAGCCGCACCGCCCTACCGAGCCGCGCCACCCTACTGAGCCGCACTGCCCTGCACTCCCCTACTGCCTCTGCTAATACTACTGCTACTGCTCCTACTGCTGCTATGGCTAGCCCTACAGTTCTCACCTTTGATGCTGAGGGGCGTGCAGTTGACTTTGACGTGTGGGTTGACGACCTGCAGCTCTTTCTTCAGTGTGACTCTAGGGATGGGGTATCCCTTTTCGATCACACACCCGGTGTCTCTACTGCTCCTGCTGCCACTGCTGACAGTACGGTTTGCTCGCAGTGGACCACTCGTGACGTTGTTGCTCGTCTTGCTGTTCGTAGTCACCGGCCGCCTGCTGAGCGCGCGCATTTTGGCCAGTACAAGACTGCTCAGTCTTTGTACGACGCTGTAGTTGCGCGCTACTCCTCCCCTGCCACTGCTGCCCTCAGCCGCCTCATGCTACCGTACCTTTTCCCTGACCTTGCTGCCTTTGCCACAGTCGCTGACCTAGTTGCTCACCTCCGCACTAGTGACGCCCGCTACCGCGCTGCCCTTCCCACTGCGTTCTGTGCCAAGAACCCCCCCCCCATGTACATCACCCTTTACTACCTAGTCACCCGCCTCCTTGACTCCCTTTCTTCAGTCAGGGACCACTTTCTCTCCCTTTGCCCCACCGAGCTGACTGCCGGCCTGCTAGAGGAGCGCCTTGCTGCAGCTGAGAAGAGTATCTTAGCTGTAGGTGCTTCTCGCGGCGACCTGTGAGAGAATTGAGGAATGAATGATGAACTAGGAAACAGGTGGGGTACAAGTAGACAACACAAAAGTGTTGTACCCTCTAAGGACTACCCCACTACAGCCTAAACAGACTATAGCATATATAAGTTTGACACACCCCCATAGGCAAAGTGGGGGAGAACAAGGGGTCACAAGACCAGTCAAGAAATGCAAAGCAAGCTCAGGGTGGATCACAAAGTCACCACGCAGTCTGAGCACAAGCAAAGGGCCACAAGGCCAGTTCACATGCAGAGTTATATAAAGGATGGCAAACAATACAGTAAACACAACCTAGCAAGTATAAGCATGCAGGTATATGTACAAAGAGTACAGTACAGGCAGAGTCAAGAAGAAAGCAAGTGAGGCACAGTAGGTACAAGGCCTAACACAGTACAGAAGCGCTGATGATCACAAGGCTGAAGTGCCTTGGTGAAAACATCAGCAGTGTTGGCCTGAGAGGCCACGTAAGCTAGACGAAGCTGGCCACGCTGCTGCAACTCTCGAGCAAGGAAGTAGCGCAGAGCAATGTGCTTTGTTCTGTGCTCCAGTCTGTGCTCCTGACACAAGGCCAGCATGGCCTTGTTGTCGACGTACAGAACTGGAGGAGAACGAGGCGCCTCTCCCAAGTCGGTCAGCAGGTAGGTGAGCCAGCGTAGCTCCTGTGCAGCCATGGCCCCAGCGTAGATCTCAGCCTCACAACTGGAGCTGAGAACAGAAGAAGAGCGAGTAGACCGCCAAGAGACAGAACCGGAGCCAAGGCTGAAGGTGTAACCCTGTGACGACCGCTGCGTAGCCAAGACGTCAACCCAGGAGGCGTCAGCGTGACCAGTGAGGACAACTCGAGCCCGTCCTCCAAGCACGAGCCCCATGCCCGATGTACTGCACAAGTATCGCAACACCCTCTTCGCAGCATCCCAGTGCACCTTTCGGTGCCTGCCGGGAGCCACGTAGCGAGCCAGAAGGCTGAGAGGGTATGCGAGGTCAGGTCGTGTGCAAGTCATCAGGTACATGAGGCAGCCCACAAGCTCTGGATACGGGCCACTCGGCTCTACGGACTCGTCCGAAGGTGGAGCTGAGAGCGAGTGACCGGTAGGCAGAGGAGTGGACTGTGGCGAGGAGTACGTGAAGCCGAAGCACTGAAGGACCTGCTGCACCATGTGTGACTGAGTCAAGGTAATGGTGCGCTGTGCTCTGTCCCGAGTGATCCGCAAGCCAAGATAGCTTGTCAGCTCACCCAGGTCTGTGCACGTGTGTCTCTTCTGCAGCTCGGACTTCACGTGGGCGAGTGGCTCCATGTCAGCAGTAGCAAAGACGAGGTCGTCTACGTACACGAGAACGTAGAACGGCGGCAGAGTAGCGTCAGCGCGTAGAAACAGAGAAGGGTCACCAGTGGAATGAGCAAAACCAAGAGAAGCAAGAGTCGTCCTGAGCGTGTCGTGCCACTCACGGGGCGCCTGGCGGAGACCGTAGACTGGCCGCCGGAGGCTCCACTGGGTACCAGCAGGAAACGACCCAGTGAAGCCAGGTGGGCGGCGCAGCCAGATCTCCTCGTGCAGGCTGCCTTGTAGGAAGGCTGTGCTGAAGTCAAGCGAGTGGAGCTCGTAGTCACGCTGAGCAGCAACGTGCAGCAGTACCCGAAGAGTGGTCATCTTCGGGGTAGGGGAGAAGATCTGAAAGAAGTCAACTCCCTGTCGCTGACTGAAGCCACGTGCAACGTAACGCGCCTTGAAGGCAGGTGAAGAACCCGGCGGCCGCTTCACCCTGAAGATCCACATGCCACTGACGATGTTCGCCCCAGGTGGGGGAACCTCGTCTACGTAGGTGCCTGTGGACTTCCAGAAAGCCATCTCTGCGTCCATGGCTGCCTGCTACTGAGAGGAGTAGGAACCCTCTATCGCCTCTGCGTAAGAGCGCGGGGTCGGGATGTCTAGTGCATCCGGGTCTCCCTTTGGGGCCAGCAGCATGGACACGAGATGAGGTACAGAAGCAGCAAAGCACTCAAACTCCTCCTCTCTGTCCTCAAGAACGTCCGTGCCAAGAGCACACTCACCCTCGACGGACGGAGGACAGACAGACGCAGACGCAGACTCAGCAACAAGACTAGTGGCGTAGTCGAGGTGACAGGCTGCAGCAAAGTCAACAAGCTCAGCAACGAGAGCAGACGCAGCAGTGGACTCAGACAAAGGGTCAGTGACAGCAGTGGCCAGAAAGCGCGGGACAGCTGGACTAGCAGCTTCAGACTCGGGGTCCGGAATGGCAGGAAGAGAGGACGCAGGAGGAGACGGCAGAGGGACACGCTGTGGAGCAGTAGAAGGACGCAGTGTCATAGAGTGAGTGCCTGGGACAGGAGGGAGACGCTGACGCGAAACATGACCAGCGTGAACAGTACGGACAGGCGACGCAGCACGAGGCGCAGGCGACACAGGACGAGACTCAGGCTCACGACGCTCCGTAAGACCTCTAGTCGGTCCAGAGTAAGGACCGGGCAGTGGAGAGGCCGGCTGCAACTGTGACTGGGACCGGAGAGGCGGCGGACTCAGGAAAGGAGGAGGACCAGGAGAAGGCGGTGAGCTAAGAACCTGCTGAAGGAGCGGAACGTAGTACGGCCGCGGCCGCGCAGTGCCTCCAGAAACAGCAGAAACAGGACCGGTACCCTCAGCCCCAGGGTCTCCAGTCCCAGCAGCACCTCCAGCACCTCCAGCAGCAGCAGCACCTCCAGCAGCGCCAGCACCTCCAGCAGCTCCAGCAGCAGCAGCACCTCCAGCAGCACCTCCAGCACCACCAGCACCAGCAGCACCTCCAGAAGCTCCAGCAGCACCCCCAGCACCAGCAGCACCTCCAGAAGCTCCAGCAGCAACTCCAGCAGCACCAGCACCAGCAGCACCTCCAGAAGCCCCAGCAGCACCTCTAGCACCAACAGCACCTCCAGCAGCACCAGCACCAGTAGCACCTCCAGAAGCCCCAGCAGCACCCCGACA